GCTCCGAGCCTCCGGGAAGCCCTATTTGATGACCATGAAGTAATAATAATAATAATAAGTGTAGCCTGACCTGCCTCATACAGAAAACTGATCCATTGTCCTGATCTCCTTAGAGTGGGATAAAAAAAACTGGCATAGGTCAAAGATTGGTTTAGATATTGGTTTACAGTTGTTGTTTTTATTATTGTATTATACTGTTTTTGCTGTGTGAGCTACCCAGAGCAGTTTTCTGGAAAGACAACACAAACATTTTCTAAATAGATAAATAATGGGCATATGGTGGTAGAAAAAAAACACAAAGAAGACATGGCATGAGAAAGGGAGAAATGGCTTGAAGGGAGAGAGACCGGCCATCTCACCATGTCACCCCAAAAGGGCCTTAGACTTAGAGAAAAATGTTGCTGCTATAACAGTTTTGATGCCAGCAGCATGCAGAGCGCAGCCATAAGACAGGAAAAGAGCCTGCAGTTTTTACAGAGCCATGCTAAGCAGAGTTATGCTCCTCTAAGGCTGTTGGCTTCATTGGACTTAGAACAGCACAACTATGTTTAGCATGCCATTGTTATCAAGTTTATTGATTAAAACCCTTCTGATCAACTACCAAAGGGCCCCCAAGAAATCAAACAACAGCAGATGCTGTTTTAATGTCGCTTCTGGGTTACAACTGAATGCAGCCGTTTGGGTGGTAACCAGTTCTTTGCAAACAGGGCTTGAACCACAGGAATACTTGGATACCGCAGCTCTTATATCAGCGTTTTTCCTGCCAGACTGGTGACTTGACTGGATTTTCATTCAGTGTATCATTCCAGAGCTTTTTTCCTCTGTGGTATGACCAGGTAACCATCATATCAACACAGCCCTGATATCTGATATCTCAGATACTCTCTGAGTTCCCTCCTGTCAGTACCCATCATTACAGAGATCCAGTCAGTCACTTCTTGGACTTGCTCCGTTTGGAATGCTCTTCTTGAAGAAGAAGGGAAGAGATTGGATTTATACCCCACCCTTCACTACCCAAAGGAGTCTCAGAGCAGCTTACAAACTCCTTTCCCTTCCCCTCCCCACAACAGACACCCTGTGAGGTAGGTGGGGCTGAGAGAGCTCTTGACAGAAACTGCTCTTTTTCAAAGACAGCTCTGACGGAACTACGGTCATCCAGCCAGGTGCAAGTGGAAGAGTGGGGAATCAAACCCGGTTCTCCCAGATTAGAGTCTGCGCACTTAACCACG